GGGGGCGAAGTATGAAGCGCCTCATTTGGCTTTGAAGAGACAGCCTCAAAACGAGTTGATCTGAGAYACGCCTCAGAAAAGCGGCRGGGCTTGTGGAGATACGATAAGGAGGAATTCAGACCAAGGCATTGCAGTTCCACTTTTTAGACTCTAACTGAAGGATTTAAATGTGAAAAAGAAGAATTTAAAAGTATATGTCCACTTTAATTAGGCAGGAGGTTTATTGAGGTTTTATTTACCCTTAAACTGAAACTGCAAACTCCTTAAAGCAACAGATAAGCTAGAATTGAATTGTTATTAGATAGATCTTTGTTAGGGTTTAAATGCAAATTACAGAACAGTTAGTAGAGATTTAAGAGTAAATCTAGATGTAATTTTATCGTGGAAAGAATGGACAAAAGACATTTTATGTTTTCAAGTTTTTATTTTCTAAAAGTTTCCTTAAGATGTTCCTGTTGTTCTATCTGCTGATGATGGTTCTTGTTGCAGCGCCAGTGAAAAGATCAGACAGCCTGGGTGGAACTTACCCCCAAACCAACTTTTTTTTTTTTGCAGATAAACTGTCTAAACTGTGCCCTTAGGGTAATACCTTTCTATTAATGACTAAAATTCAACATTTTGGTCTGAAATTGTTTAAATGTACAATATTGGGTCTAAGAATGTCTCTATGCTCCTCCCTTTGGGTTTAACTATGGCTACTACATTTGAATTTCATTATTCATTCAAAGAGTACCGTATGACACTGCTGGTACTGTGTGACATCTTTGTCAATTGGTCAAACTGTGTTWGAGACTTAAAGTATTACATATAATATACAGTATGGTGTTTAYTTGTCAGTTCTTCGGTCCTGTAAAAGGTCACAGACCAGTAGTGACCTTTGGTCCTGCACAGGCTAATTCTACAAGCTTTGCAAAACATAGTATGATCTCAGACAGGAAGGATGTGTCCTACCACTAGGGCTGTGTATTGGCAAGAATTTGGCGATACGATACATATCATAACGGAGGGGTCACGATACGATATACAGTGGTTTGCAAAAGTATTCATACCCCTTGAACTTTTCCATATTTTGTCACATTACAAC